GGGCCACCTCGAGGGCGGGCAGGAGCATGGTGATGACCAGCTCTGGGACGCGTCGAAATAGCCGCAGACGGTGCTTTCTGCAGAGGACGCCCACCTTCTGGAAGCTGCTCACCTTGTCAGACTGCTTGTGGACGGAGTAGCCGCGGTGCTTTCGAGTGCTCCCACCGCTCACCGAGTTGAACTTGCTCCTCCTTGGCCCCAGAATGGGCGAATCTGGGACGGTGAGCGTGGCCGTCGTCGAGCTGTTGTTGGTCGTCTTCGTCTCCAGCTTGGTGATGGTCACCAGGGCGCCGGTGGAGGCCTCCTGGTACTGGTGCTGGCTCTTCGTGATCACCGACTTGCAGCAGTTTCCATTGGCGCCGTTGGCGTACGTTGAGTTGTTGTTATTGTTTGTTTCAGTCTGACTACTGTCTGCCGTCGTGGCTGTCGTCGTCCCGGTGAAGGAGTCCAGCGCCACATCGGAGACCCTGCTGCAATCGGTGGTGATGGAGTAGTCGGGCGGCGGCAGCGTCGGCAGTTGGTGATTGTTGTGGTGGTGAGGGTGGTGGTGATTGACGAGGTGATGATTGTGGAGTGTCGAGTGGTGGTGCGAGTGGTGCTCTGCTGAATAGGCGCCACCATTGGGANTCGGTGGTGATGGAGTAGTCGGGCGGCGGCAGCGTCGGCAGTTGGTGATTGTTGTGGTGGTGAGGGTGGTGGTGATTGACGAGGTGATGATTGTGAAGTGTCGAGTGGTGGTGCGAGTGGTGCTCTGCTGAATAGGAGCCACCATTGGGGATGAGACTGCCGCCATTGCTGAAAACCGTCTCTGCGACCACCACCGCCGAGGGAGGCTGACTGAAGCTGTCCAGGGCGGAGGAGGAGACGACACTGCCGTCCATGGCCACCTGACAGAGACCGTCCGACTCGTGAGTGCGAGTCTTGTCGTCCTTCTTCGAGAGCATCAGAAAGAGGTGCTCCAGAGTGGGCGCGCGGAACTGCGCCATCAACACCGCCGGATTGCCCTCCGCGAGGATGCGCCCCTGGCGCATGAAACCGACGTTGTGGGCAGAGGCCGCCTCTTCAATGTAGTGTGTCGTCACGATAATCTGAAAAAAGGAGGAGATTAGCTAAAAGCTTTCNTGGGCAGAAGCCGCCTCTTCGATGTAGTGTGTCGTCACGATAATCTGAAAGAAGGAAAGGGGGAAAAGAGAAGATTAGGTAAAAGCTTTTAATTAGGATAGTGAAGTCCAATCTTACGGTAAGTCCATTTTTGCTCTGTTCGAGCAGGTATGACCAGATGGCATCTCGGACGATCGGATCGACGCCGACTGTGGGCTGGGAGTGATAAAAGGAGATGAGTTGATGTAAAAACTCAATGTTTAATTTGCCAAACGATAATTTCTTACCTCATCAAGAATGAGCAGCGGCGGGTCGTTGATCATGGCGACGGCCAGACTGGCGCGTCGCTTCTGCCCTCCCGAAAGGCGGTCGGTGAAGACGTGCTCAAACTGGCTAATGTCCAGGAGGGTGAGCAGAAACTCGATCCGCTGGTTGAGGTTCTTCTCATTGCAGCCCTTGTTGTAGTGCCCATTGGCGTCGGGTGTCTGCGCAAAGCCGGCGTAGTACTCCAGCGTCTCGCGCACTGTGAACTGCGATATGAGCGACAGGTCCTGCGGCATGTACCCGATGTTCGGCCCGGGAATGCCGCACTCTTCTGTTCCTGTTTTGGGGAAGAGAGAAGAGGGGAAAGTGAAGTGTGTTAGTTAGTTAGTGAGGTGGGATGCAATCGCGTGCGAACACACGCAGTGCACCGGATGCACAGCGGAGCAACACCGGAGAATGCACTGCAGCATGGCTGCCGCTGAAGCTGCTGTCGCCGAAGCTGCCGCCATCATTAGCGGCAGCAGTCTCTGTCTGA